TTTGCCCCCGTGTGATAACGTCCATGGGTTTTTCTTGGCAGAATTTGTTCAGAGGAGGGCTTCGCCTTTGTCTTTCTCTGAGGCTGAGAGAGTGTAACTTGCCCAAGGACACACAGTGGGTTTTCAAGGCTGAGTGAAGAATTGACTCCTGGTCTCCTAGTCCTAGTCCAACGCATAAACAAGTACATCACATTGGCTCCATAGGCTTACAAACCAAATTTAGTAGAAAGCTGATGTAGGGTAACCCTAGCACAAATATAGTATGGGGCTTTCTTGGCACTATTAATTCAGAAAGGGTTTGCCCTCGCCTTCTTCTGAGGCTGAGAGAACATGACTTGTCACCCAGTGGTTTTCTATGGCTGAGCAGGGATTCAAACCCTGTCCTCCAGTGGAAGTGGAAGCTTTCTTAGGGCCTTTACAGACTGCCAGAAATAATCCAGCTTGAGGCCACTTTAACTGTCCTGGCTCAGTGCGAAGGAATCATGGGAACTGTAGTTTATTGTGACACCAGAGCTCTCTGACAGAGAAGGCTCAATGTCCCAGAAAAAAATACAATTCCCATGATTCCCTAGCACTGAGCCAGGGCAGTTAAAGTGGCCTTAGGCTGCATTATTTCTGGAAGTCTCTAAAGGCAGTCATCATCTTGTGGCTAAATTCTGTTCAGTACTTGGTTTAAACCAGAAGTGGGCAAACAGCAGCCCTGGGACCCCAAAGGATGCATTTGTGGCCCTCAACATTTCCCGATTCCCTAGATTGATCTTCTTTTGGCTAAAGAAGAGAACAAATTGATACTTCAGGAATGCTTCAAGGGCAACAATACCCAGAATCCCCATCTCAGTAGCTGGCAGGAGGAATTTGGGAATTGTGGTCTACAAACATGCATAGCTTGAGCGCCAGACTACAAACCCTTTCTGAATCAATAGTGCCAAGAAAGCCCCATATTACGTTTGTGCTAGGGTCACCCTACATCAGAAATTCCTTGAAGGCATATAACAAGAAATCTAAAAATAAATTTCAGAGAGTTGCCAGCTTGCAGTAGCTTTTTATTTTTTATTTTTTAGAATTTATTTATTTCATTTGTGTACCTCCCAGAGTGGGACCCAAGGCAGTGCTAAGAAAGTCTTAACAATACATTAAAAACAATTAAAATTCACACATTAAATATAAAATCATTTAAAAACATACAAAAGTATGTTTTCTACTAACTGAGAAACTGATGGGAAGAACTGACAAAAACACAGGTGTGCAGTGTGGAAGATTGCCTTCTCACTATCAGTGGAAGGTGTCCATCAAAATGGGAACACAAGCACCTGCAGAATTTGGAAAGTTACTTTTAAGAAGAACATGTGGGGA